TGTGTGTGTGTGTGGGAGGGAAAGTGAATGAGAGTGTGGCTGTCTGTATGAGTATGTGGGGGATTTGCCTGATGTGTGAACATGTGCTGGGAGTGTGGAGACTGTTAAGATGTTTACAGTTGAAGCAGTTTTCTTCTCTTAACAGTTCAGATCACGTTCATCCACCGTCAAATTAAAGTGGACAGACTGAACTTCAAAAGCATGACCACCACTGAGTCCTTTTTATAGCAAAATATCCAGTGTTAGTATTGAGTTGATGGCTCAAATGATGATTTTAAAGCACCTGAAACTAATAGTAGCTGTATAATAAGCAAGGAAAATTAGGGAAAACATCCATTATAAACAAATAATCAAATTTATTATCAACACTCTCAGCCTGCATTGGAGTGATTTGATAAGATTTAATAAAGTAAACAACAACTCTCATTATTATGCATCCTATATTCTTAAAAGAGAATAATAGTTTATTACAACTTGTAGCTTGCTTAGTTTTGGCCAAAACACCTGTCAGTTATGATAAAATAGTACATTGATAAAAAAAAAAGAATCACTTAGAACTGGGAACACAGCGACATTGCTACAACAAATTATTATGAAATAAAACACTTTCATTTGGAAGTGTATCTTTAACACCCGTATTAATGCCTTTTTACACAGGAAAACATCTTGTGGTGTGTGGGCCATAGCAGTCCACACATTCTCTCTTCTTCATCATTTGAGTCCCAAAACACTCGCAGAGAAGCTCTTTTTTGAATAATCTATGAGATGTCTCAACTGTTGCACAGCTCCGTGAGGAAAGTCTGCCGTGTCAAACTAGTGGAAGTGGCTGCATGTTGGTCTTTTCTAGTGCTTGGCCCTCTGTAACACCCACGTGTGCCTGGTGGTGGAGGCACTTTGTGCTCAATTACGTGGCGGTGGAGATGACATGAGACAGCGGCGTGCTTCCCTCTGGGGTCACCACTTTCCCATATCAACACAAGCGCTGGGTCAGTCTCTGAGCTGCACCCCCTCCCCTCATCACTCCCCCCCGCCACCCCACCCCAGCCTCTTTCTCTCGCAGTCTATTCCTCCACCTGCTCCCCGGAGACACACTCATTGTCCCCACGGCTATAAACACTTCATTGAGCATGTGGCAGCCCTGCGTTCCTCAAAGCCCTTCCCAGCGTTCTCATTGGCCCAGGGACTGTGAGAAACTCCAGCCAGACCAAGACCCACACATTCATATGGAGATGTGGGACTATAAATACAGGGCAGAGGCAGAGGAGAAGGCAGCTCAGATTCAACTGGCTCTTCAAACCGAGCAGGAACGCTCTGACTCTACAGCTATGGCACCCACTGTTTTTGGACAAGCAAGCTTTCCTAAGGAACACCTGACTCCTGCTCATAAGGTAAACTTGAGTTCTATAAAGTCACACCGCTCCCTTGTTGAATTCTCTTCATATGATATGAAAAAGTTTGAATTTTATTCTAAATTATTGTTCTTTTTCTTTTATTCAGCTGAGGAAACCAATGGTCGAGAAACTGCGCAGAGACCGCATCAACACCAGCATTGAGCAGCTGAAATCCCTGCTGGGTCCTGAGTTCCTCAGGCAGCACCCAGACTCCAAGCAAGAGAAGGCGGACATCTTGGAGATGGCTGTGTCCTATCTGAGAGGCTGGCAGCACCAGAAGCAGCAGCAGCAGGCCAACGTGACCTCGGGCTTCATGACAGCCAAAGACGGCTACTCCCACTGTGTGCAGGAGGCCGTCAGCTTCCTGTCCCACTGTGAGGTCCAGACTCAGGCCCACAGACGGCTGCTCAACCACTTCCAGGGTCTGCAGACGTCCAGCAGGACCAGCCACAGTCCCTCCACCCTCTCCCCTCCTGGCTCTCCACTCCATCAGGTCAGCTCCAGCAAGGGCCAGGCCTCCGGTGCTCTGTGGAGGCCTTGGTAGGATGGAGGCAGCATCAGAAAGAGAAATACGTCTGTGAACGTCATGGACAGAAAGTTGAAGACTCACTGAAGTCTGTTTCCTTTTGCTTTGGCAGGAGATTCAATATTGTTGAGTGTTTCACTTGTGGTGAAATGGGCACAATGTGCCAGTATTCCTCTGGTAGGAATGATATGATTCAGGTTTTACTGAATTTGTACACCATGTGTATACACATTATTCACTTTATAATTTAGAGTGTTTAACTCTGTGATTGTGTTAATTGTTCCTGTGGAAAAGAAACAACTCCTGAATTTATGTTTTTTTTGCAAACGTCACTGAATTGTCTTGTGAACCCACATTGGGTTGAAATTATTTAAGTGTCTGTGACACTGTTTGATTTATGTGTTTTAACTACTGTCTATCTTTGATACTGAGTATCACTGACTGATACATTTCATCAGCTTGGTGTTGATGAATCAGCATCATCCCATTAATGGATCCCATGGATCCACTTTTACTGTAAATCGTATTATGATTATACTTAATTATGACTATTTGTAACCATCATTTGGCCTATGTGTGAAGGAATGTTAGTGCATGACTTGTACCTGTTAACTGTTCAGATGTGATGTTCATAATAGATTTTTTTCTTATCTTCAAATGAATACCTTTTATAAAGGCATGTTATGTTGATACATCTTTACTAAAAGAATCTGTTGATTTGCTTCCTTGAGAAGTTTGCCTCTGAAAAAATAAATGGAAAACTTCACATGAAGTTTTAAAAATATACACAACAGTTGTGTTTTTACTTTTTTCAGAAGACTGTAGTGCTGAGTGTCAGAAATCGATATAAATCACACATTAAGCTGGAGTTTGTGTGTTAGTGCCTACATTAGGTCTTTAATGATTGATTGACTGAATAAACATTTCAGTCCAGTAGACAGTTTGGTCAAGGTAACAGACTTAAACACAGTCAAACCAGAGAGTTTATCAGTACAACATTTAACTAACAGCAGCTTTACTATTGTGCCTTGCTCAAAGGAACAACAGTCTCTTTGTGTAATGCTAAACATTTACTTTGATAATTATAGCTTACTCTAAAACTGCACATTTACTTTGCATTGTACATGGTGAAGAATCATTTCAAGAATGGGAGAAAACCCAAATGTGACCACATATATATATATATTATATTTGTAAAGAGTAATATGAAATTAATTTACAAGGTTGTGTCATTTTTCACTTGTGCAATAGAGAAAATTATATTTATACTGGTACCAAAGCAAAGGCAACATAAAATATATGAATGTTCAGGTCCTGAGAGGTTTGTTGTTAGTGGAACCAGTGAAGCTGACAGTAGGTGCTGCACATTAAAACTGCATTCTGGTAGTCTTACTACAGTTTATAAATGTGAATGTGTGTTTTGAAATACACTAATTTGTTTGCAGTGTGGATTATTTGTTTTTAGTGTGTTTCAGCTTAAAAACCTGATTTCCCTTCACGAAAATATTTTAAAACATAACTTAAAAATGTTAAAATTTTATATAATTAATGCTAATCAAGTATATTTTTTACTTAACTTAAAAACCACCTTAAGTTAAGTAAAAAATATGCTGTATCTGTTTTTAGCTGTATCATACTTTTGTTTCATAGTATTTCCCACCGGGATCATTAAAGTTTCATCTTATGTGACCTTGCTGCTGCACAGGTGTTCAAGAAACAAAACAAAAAAACCCCAGGGTATGAAGAGACACCCCCGCACGTCACATGTCCCACTTCTGCTGTGGTGGTCGTGGCATGCTGTCTAGTGCTTAAATTATGTCTCAAGTGCCACAAAAGTCTTTCAAAACTATTTGTGTGTGCAGAAGTTGTGGAGAATGTGGCATGCCTGGGACTTTCTCAGGGTCTAGTTGGCCAGGCCAGATGGTCTGGCTGAAGCTGCCTCCCCTCCCCCTTCAACAGGAGATCAAACACCGTAGCTAATGTGATGTGTAACAAGACACACTTCTATTGTTCCCGTCTCGGGGGCCAGTGAATAGGCCCAGAGTGTGGGAAACGGGAGATACCACACTCACAGAGAGATGGCTGACGGGAAGCCGCTCTGTGCCGCCGCAGGTCTGAGCGATGGCCGAGACTTTATGGCAGGATTTCAGAGCTCTCAGGCTGCTGGTGGGAGGGGAACTCGTCTTCACACACACTTGTAGACAAAGACCCCCAGCAGCCGTGTAGTGCACACTAACCTTTCAGAGGAGGCACAAATTCACACAAACATGTCGACAATGAAATCAATGGAGAGGACAGATAATAAATCCAAACATGGACGTGACTTGACGGATTGGCAGTTACTGTGCTTTTAAAATGCTGCAGACAGTGGTGACCAGAGAGATACAGACAGGAGTTAAGAAAGAGAGATGTTGACTTAGATATACCTAAATATTCAAATGAGGAATGAGAAAACAAATACTGACAAATTAGTCATGCATTAAGCTACCAAGTACCAAATACCTAATAAAATAATTTACTGCTTATGTAAAGGCCGTTTTTCACTTTTGTGTGCACATTTTACTGCTAGTACTTTTACTTTACTGTTACTCTGGGTGGGAACGTTTGTGGATACTCTCCTTTTACTTTGAGGAACACATTTTAATGCAGGTCTTGGCATGGAGTATTTCTGTTGTGGCATTTTTACCTTGACTTTTTTGAGTACTTCTTGTAGATGGGTGTCTGAAACCTTCAATTAAAAGAGCCAACAGAGACTAGAGGCAGACAGACTGCTCTGTGCCAGGCACTGAAGCCAGTTGACTTGATTTTTCCCAGATGGACCGGGACACAGGGTTTCTGTTTGTCCTGCAACAAAAGATCAATTAACATTCCCAGTGGAGCATTGAGGAGCGACATGGCTTTTGTAGCTCATTTACCCTGATGTTGTGGACTGGTGGGAAACTAGGGAGACGGGACTACTCACACTGCACCCACAAGGCCGGCTTCACATCTGGGGCCAGCCAGTGATGGAGGCCCTCAGAGGCACACTGCCAGCCCGCTCATAATGCCATTAACTTGACACTAATTTGACACAGTTCATTTACAGCAGGGTCTGCAGACCCTCAGGGGAGGTAAGACAAGAGCTTATGATTAAAGGTTGCATACAGTTTTTCAGCTGACCTCAGTGACTAATATGTGACTAAAAACAACAATAAACCAAATGGGATCTGTTTCACCACATAACTGAACATGCAGCAAGATGATGCATACCAAAATAACTGACAGTAAGTTTAATAATCAATGATCAACTAATAACTTTACTAACTGAATCTCAGTGAGGGATGCACTCATAATGTCTTTCATGTCATCTTCTGTGCTGTCACCACTGACACCTGTTTGCAGGCCACTTGGGAGTAACTTCTGGATCAGTGGATAGTCTCATGAATGGATCATATTACTGACCTGTTTCCAGGACCATGTACATATAATAGCCTACCACTTAGATCTCTTATCAATTATTAGAAATTAAATGGTTTTTTTCTGATATCACATGACTTTCTTTCTTTCTCTCTCTCTCTTTTTTTCTCTCCAAGTGTGATGCATTTAGCTATTTTAACCTGCGCCATCTTTGTCTTAAAATTGACTCAAAAACACTGTCGTGTGTTCTTCATGGCGGGAATAAAAAATGCATAGCGCTGTGCGTCAACAGTGGCGCACGACATCATTTGTGGCGCTATAATCGCGCCTCCGCACCGCACGCGGTCTTTGACTCGCGCCGAGGAGAACGTGCGCCACTTGCCTGCTTTCACACCTGCGGCGCGAGTCAACAGAAGCCTTTGATCTGCGCGCTCTTCCTTCACACGTTGTTCACGTGAGACACTCTGGGAGGATGTGAGGCTTGTGGAGAGAGAGCTCGCGCAGCAACAGGTAGAAAATTAAATATTTCACCTGCAGCCAGTTGACGTCACTCTTTGACGTTAACGACTCCCCTACCTGCTCTTCCTCCTACCTGCCTCTATATCTTCATCATTTGAAACATTACTCAGCCTAAGCGTGGTGAGGCTGTGAACAGGGAAGAATGTGTCCAAATGCTCCTGTCTGCCACCAAAATGCTTTCTGGAGGAAGGGAGAGTTTCTTTGAAGAGAAAATGAAAGCCTTCAGCTTATATTGTTTTATTGCAGTGAAGCATTTGGTCCTTAATTACCCCCTTTGAAGAGGCTCACTTTTGTGTGTATGCTTTACCTTCGTTTTACTTCTAAATAATTCAATTCTGACCTTCAGTCCATGATATATTCTCCGATGACACTTGTTCATTACCTGTTGCTTATCTTGGGAAACATGCCTCGCGCAGATAAATGCTCTGTGAGTTATTGACGTGTCTTCCATTGTTGTGCTGGGAGTCCCACTGGTCAGAGTGTGGGAACCCCAGCCCTGCCTGAGCCACATGGCTTTGTTATGCTAATGCCTCAGTATAAAATGAGGAGCAGCTCCCCCAGAGACATCAGAGCTAACACTGCCGTCCTGAAGAAGCTGCTCACTTCAC